TGAAAACGAAGTTTTTTACGACGCTATTTATAGAGAAAATCAACCGAAAAGATAAAAATCCAAAACAGAGTTCTTACGCGGATAAAAATTGATTAGCGCCAACGCCGGCCATTGGCACCAGACGCCAACATTAGTGCCAGGCGCTAACGCTAGCGCCAGGCGCTAATGTCTGTCGTTAGGCTCTAATCCCTTTTTTGATGCGTTTTGTAAAATCAGATAGAAATTGGCGTACAGGAGGACAAAATCGTATTTTCCTCAAAAATGTTCTTTGATTCTAATTAAAACTCTAAAAAGTCAACAAAAGTCAATTTATCAATGCTAATTGAATTAAGGAATGAAAAGAACCTTCTAGAAGAATCTAGAAGACTAAAACCATTCTTAATTGCATTAGGAATGATAAATCCATATAAGGCCCTCCTCTAGATCATTGGGCCGCATATAAGGCTCAAATCGGGCCCAGTTCAGTAATTTGGCCATAACTTTCTCAATATTCATCGGAATTGGGCTTATAATATATCGTTGGAAAGCTCTTTTCAAGCCCTATCCAACTACATGATTATTGGACCCATATCATGGACCCACCAAACTGGATTGGCTGTTTTCTTAAAATAGGTTTTAAAAAACAGAGAGAATCGAAAAGAAATTAAAACTATCCGCAACACTAAACTTTCCACACTTTCACTTCATTCGATTACGATTCGACGTGAAAAGTACTCATCACCGGGTTTGGTTTTGAGGAGACACAAATGGGTGTCTACAGAAGGGTAAAAATAAAAATCTAAGAAATAAATCCAAGAAGGATGAAGGGTACCTATGCTAGACTTATTGGGGAAAGGGTTTGAAAAAAACAAGAAGAAAGCATAAAATCTTGGTGAGAAGCTTGCCTTGTGCATTTGTTTCATCATTACCCTCATTTTTTAATTTTGTTTGTCAATCACATGACTCAAACTCGATTCAACATACATGGATGAAAGAAGGTAGGAAGAATGAAGGTTGGCTAGACTATGTGACTAGACTCAAGCAAAGACTAAATTAAGACTTCACGTATATGCATTAAACTGGACAGGCTGTGGTATTTTAGTCATAACTTTTGATCTGTGACTCTGATTGTGATGAAACCAACGCCAAATTAAAGATAAAACTCTAGGCTACAGATCCATAGGTTGTACAACTCGTAGTTCTTCTTAGAAAACAGGCTATGATCAAAACAAATTGACGCTTGTGCACTATACGGGAATAAAAATCCGGGTTGACTTAAAGGAACTATGACTCGATTTTAAACATATTTATTAGCTCAAATCAATTAATTAATTAATAAAAAAATTCCTTTAGTCATTAATCAGTTTATTTAATCTTAAAACAAGTCAAATAAACGATTAGGAAAAACACATAGAGTATGCACAACCAATAATGCACAATTAGTCAAGTAGGCACGATATGATGCAATGAGTTTGCAACCTAACCATGGCTCTAGTTCTCTAATTTTCGGGATATGGGTTAGTCAAAGAGGGCCCATGGTTAATTGTCCGGATGCACCGCGCGAAAGTCTAACCGTGAATGGTTGGCGCGAGTGGATGGGACACCGCGAGTTTAGAAAAACTCGCTTCTATGGTTTGGTGAATTCAACATTCTCGGATGTACCCTTTGCTGCTCAGAGCGTTCAATCAGGTAGATGGAGGATGAATTCCCAGGGCGTTATGTCCATATGTAGAACACATAAGGTTTGAAAAATGAGAAAAACTCAATCAGGAAGTAGGATCGAGCAAACATTGCTAAAAACTGGTCAAAATTGGAACGCATTTCTGGCTCGGTATTAGAAGAACTTGGCGCAAGCAAACAGAGGCCAGCGCCACTTTTTGGCTTTAGTGAATGGCGACAGAAGCTGTCGCCTGGCGCTAACGTCAAAATGTTGGCGCTAATCTTTGTTTGCTTACGCTAGTTCCTACATGCCTCAACAGCTTTCTGTGCTCGATAAAATTTTCCAGTTTCGCGCAGCATTAATTCGATCCTAGTTGTGAAAGATATTCCTCAAATTTCCTACGTGTAAAAATCCTATGTTTTAACTCATTACGGATGGTCTTTCCAATGAGATCTTTTTTATGCATATGACAATAATGTTAATCAAAATTACGCACATAAAATACTTAGAACTTTTCAAGTCTCATCCACTCATTCTAAATAATTGCCAAAATAAATTACAAGATTTAAAATAGAAATCCTCCCAGTGGAGTCGCCAAAAAACTGTAGGGAATATTTCAAGAATTACCCCTAGCTTGAACCCCACTGTGATCATACACTAAAGTACGGTGGCGTTCAAAGGGAAAGAAGATAGAGCAAAAGAGTCGCCAACAAGTTTTAGGAACTTGTAAACCGTTCACAGGGTGAAGGTTACACCCTTAACGATCCAGGAGATCGTCAACTCCAATAGGTCTGGAACCATGGATGGTAGTTCGGGGATGAAGGTATAAATCCAACCTAAAAGAGATTGAACCTGCCCTAATAATAGGCCTCTACTTTAACCATGACCTCTCTCTTTCTGTCTCTAACTTGCTTTTACATTCAAAATTCTGCATTCACAAGATCTAGAAACACCTAGCCATATTCGAAGTTGCCTTCGCCCTATACGTGAAAGATTTAATTTCTGAGGGTTTGGTCCCAAATCTCTATTTCAATTATTTAATTTAATTGTTTGTTTATTATTTTCCTTGAAGTTACTAACGTGTGTATTTTGTTATTAGAAAGAGGTACGAGACATCCAATTAAGTGCTTTAATTGATTTATTGATATTATGATATAGAAATCATGTCTAGGTTGTTATTATGATTCCTATTGTCATGTTAGGGTGTTTTGATCTTCCTAGTATCATGTTTAGGGTAACAACTATAATTTTAATATCAAATATGACAATTATGATTATTATGACGCTTCCTATTCTTTTCCTAATATTCATGTTAGTATCATGCTAGGGTTAAAGCTATGATCTTTAATGTTTAGTGACATGTTAGGGTTTGTTATTAATCTTGTTAGTATCATACCTAGGATTTTGTCTAGTACTAATGTATGAGAAATTGTGTTTGTAAAAGGGCTGGTTTAGAAAGAGGGAGAGAATCAAGAAATTCTTGATGAGAGTTGGTGATATTTGAGAATATTTGATGATTGAAAAAAGGGATATATGACTTCTATATATAGAGAAAAAAGAGAGTCGAAGAATAAGAAATGAATCCGAATTCGAATTCGAATCGAAATAGAACTCCATGGACAGCAGTTTTTGAGTCCAAATAAGGCATATGATATGTTGTTGGAAATCTCTTGAAGTATAATTTCCAACCCAATTAGAATCAGATTAAAATATTTTTTATATAAAAAGACATGGCCGAAATAGTAGGATAGTGTCAGTTTTGGATAGAGTTTCATATCTTTTTCGTTATAGCTCGGAATTAATATATTATAATATATCATTAGAAAGATAATTTCAATATCTATCCAAACATATAAAATTTGGATAAATATTATGATTCAAGAAAATAAAATCTGAATATCTTTGAACATCTTTAAATTCGAATAGAATTAGGATTTAAGAAAAAGGAAAGTTTTTATTTAACTTAAATTCTTTAATCTTATCTTTTAAAAAAGGATAATTAAGATATTTTAGAAACTTATAGAAGGTTCTAATTAATCCCAATTACTTTAGAAATAGGATTATACTTTTGGACCCTCCACATGATCATTGGGTTGTAGGTAAAACCGGTTTTGGTCCGGTTTAGTATTTTGGCCATAACGTCCTCATTATTCATCGGAATTGGGCTTATAATGTATCGTTGGAAAGGTCTATTCAAGCCCCATCCAACTACACCATTATTGAATCCATAGCATGGACCAAACTAAACAAGAATGCACGTTTTTCAAAAATAGGGTAAGAAAAGAAATATTTTCAAGAACAAAAAAAAAGATATTTTAATAAAAACATCCTCATCACTAGACTTTTCACACTTTCGCTTTGTTCGATAATCAAATGACATGAAAGGTATACATCATTGGGTTTGGTTTTGGGGAGACACATTTGGGTGTATACAGCCCTAGACGTGAAAGGTTTGATATTTATGAGGGTTTGGTCCCAAATCTCTCTTTTAATTATTTAATTTAATTATTTTATTTTATTATTTTCCTTGAAGTTACTAACGTGTTTATTTTGTTATAAAAAAGAGGTACGAGACATCCAAGTAAGTGCTTTAATTGTTCACATTGTTATTATGATATAGAAATCATGCTTAGGTTGTTATTATGATTCCTAGTGTTATGTTAGGGTGTTTTAATCTTCCTAATATAATACCTAGGGTAACTTTAATATCAAGTATGATTAAAAGTATGATGCTTCTTATGATTAATATTCATGTTAGTATCATGTTAGGGTTAAAGCTTTGATTTTTATTGTTTAGTGACATGCTAGGGTTTGTTATTAATCTTGTTAGTATCATGCCTAGGATCTTGCTATTATTATGCTTTAGCGTTAATATGATTCTGTTAATTATGATTAATTTTATTATTATGATTATAATTATTATTATTATGATTATTATTGCTTGATGCTATTTTTATTATTATTGCTTGATCACGCCTATTATGCATGTTTAAAGGGAATTGGTACTTATAATCACGCTTAATAAGATAATTAATAATCTTGTTAGGGTTAATATGATTATAATTCAAGTGATCGCCAATAATAGTTTTATTTGTACATTAATATTCAACCAACATAGATAAACAAGTTTAGGGTTGATCCTATTGATTGCATGTTAGTCAGAAAGCGCACATGGATACGATCAGAATAAAGTGGAGGCCTATTATTAGGGAAGGTTCAATCTCTTTTAGGTTTGATTTGTACCTTCATCCCCGAATTTCCAGTCATGGTTCCAGACCTATTAGAGTTGATGATCTCCTGGATCGTTAAGGGGTGTAACCTTCACCTCGTGAACGGTTTACAAGTTCCTAAAACTTGTTGGCAACTCTTTTTCTCTATCTTCTTTCCCTTTGGACGCCACCGTACTTTAGTGTATGACCACAGTGGGGTTCAAGCTAGAGATAATGCTTGAAATATTCCCTACAGGTACCAAATCAATCTTTTCCACCATCTCATCACAAACTACACATTTGTGTGTTGAAGTACCCACTGCAGCAATCCTCATGGATACAACCTTTCAATTGCCTTTCTTGAGGCTATTCGCTTAGTCCTAGACCCATAAAAGAAAAGGAGATATTTTAAAGGTTGAATTGAAGAGAGCTGTTAATGTTATGAAATGTTAGAGATCTTACATCGTAGAACTTGAGGCTCTTAAGGAAGTACACTTGTTTCCTCTTCCGAGCAAGGGCCTCCAAAATCAAATGTTTTCTCCTGCATTGCTCATCTGGTACCTTGAGGCCACCAATCCCAAGCCATGTTTGATCAAGAAACATAGGGTCTGGTTCCAAAACTGCAGTAGCTTGGAATACTCCAGAGGTAATGTAACACTACGACGAACTATTTCTGTCTTTCCACAAACTTCTTTCACAACAGTAACATCAAGACTTTTCTCAAAAGTCTTATCAGAATGAGTATCACAGTCTGATTCTTTTTTGGTCCGACCAAAACTACCACAAGTGATGCCTCGCTCAGACTGATATCCAATGCCGTTGCAAGAGTTGTAAGGAAAATTGTAAAAGGCATAGGCCATCTGTATTATTAGGCATCAGATAAGTCAATTCTATATTGCTAACAGTCTAGCAGTAACATAAACTTTTACAACTATAAGATTTAAAAAATGACATTAAGTCATCCATCAGTCTACTAGTTATTGAAAGAGACTACAACACACAACATGCCCTTCCAGTTCCAAATAAAATGATATGTGTAGATTAACCATATTTTTGGGGGGGAAGATGAATTGGAGGGATATAACGGGGTTTAGAGGGAAAATGTCATGGGCTGGTTCGCTGGCCGGAGTTAGACCAGTCAAACACCACTTTTGGTAGCAACACCTTGTAACCAATAATTAACCCCAATCTTAAGATGAAGTATATTTCACAATAATTGACCCCTCTTGTCCACACCCCCAGTTCCTTCGGGAATAATAAGAAAATGAAGAAAATGAAATATCAACGAGATCTAAAAGTTAAGGTGTTAGAACGTCATTGTAGATGCCTTTGAGACCTAACATTTAGGTATCACTAGAGGTTATTTTGACAAACAAGTACTATGTACTTTCAAGGCCTAACATCCCTGCCATTTGCTTAACAAAGCTAGGGTTCCTAATGCCTAACTATTTCCAGGTATAACCATTTTCAATGAGACACTGGTATAACTGTAGACATTTTAAGAGTAATAAGGGAGTAAAGTCATACCTAGATTTGTTCCTACGAGAATTATTAGAACACCAGTGCATAATGCCTGAGCATAGGAATCCACTAAAATAGGAATAAAAAAATCCATGAGCTAATTAAAATAGCACAACACCAATTCATGTGGTATAAGCCACAAATTGAGGGAAGAGCAGAATAATGAAGTAGTCTCACTTTTTTGGCAAAATTTTCATAATTAGCTTTGCTAATCAACGAGAACGCTAAAATTAAAACATCAGCTCCACGATAGCTCAAAGGTCTCAGTCTATTGTAATCTTCTTTCCCTATAACACACAATTACAATACAGTCAAACACACTTGTCTTAATACTCATTATCTAAAATCATAATAACATTTTGAGGAAAGGTAAGCGAATACGAATAATAGGAAAGATATGAAAATCATAGAGGGGTAGCAGCATGTGGTGTACCTGCACCCTAGGTTGACTGTGTTCCCATCAACGACAACATTAGCACTGAAGTTATCAAAAAATGTAGGTACATAGTCATGTTTTAATCGAGAAATCAAAAGGTGAACATGTAGCCAAATAGACCAGGGAAACAACTAATTTGTAAGAGGCAGAATACAACAGGGGACAAGAAAAATTGGAGCAATATTGTCTAAAAAAGGTGAACATTTAGCACTCTTGCACACAGAACCCCCGTTTCGATCAACTCAAAGAAATCCGAGAAAAGCACCTACATACAAATATGGCACTTTCAATTCAAAAGTACTTAGTTAAATAGTTAGCAATTAAACATAGACCTTTTAAATTTTCACTAATCTTAGACAAGGGAGTTTCCTTTGGAGAAGCAACCTAAGACTTCATAGAAGCTGCACTCTTAACAAAACCCACAAAGTCAGACCTTTTGAGATACAATTTGCCCCTGTAAGCAGCAAGGTGAACATAAAAAGAGATGCAGCTCCTAGAAGTATAACAAAGTGATTGAATCAAAAAAACCAACTGAACACAACAACATACCACTAATTTAGAGAAATCAAACAAAATAAAATACAAAACACTAATTCAAATAGATAAAAACGAAGACCTCATATGAAATAATACAGAAAATTCGAATCACATCAAAATCACACAAATTATTATCACCAAAAATGAAAGTAGAGCATAAAATTACCAAAATAATGAGTAATCATTATCTTGATTAAAAAAACGCAAAATTACAACCAAAAAATAACAAAAACAAACCCTAATTATTTCAAACTCAAAAATCAAGATTTCAAAAAACAAAACCCTGATTGAATAAAGAGAACAAAGAAAAACAAATCAAATATCTTACTTGATCAGAAATATCATGGAACGAAGATCCAAGAACAAAATTTCAAAGAAATTAATGTGCGAAGAATAAAAGATAAATATCACAGTAAGAGATCGAAGTTAAAGAGAGAAAATGTGGAAGAAGAGAAAGAAAGAAAATGAAGCGGCGCCTGAAAAAGAAGGGAGGTCATTCAACTAACAAAATTACAAAAATACACTTAATGAAATGGAAAAAGGCGGGTGAAGCATCAGCCGTTGGATTAAGAGCGATCAACAGTCACGATGAGTTTCTATTATAGGACTTGGTTCTCACATGATCTCGATTATATATATATATATATATATATATATACTTTATAAAAAGTGGAAAGTTGTTCTTATAAATGCTCGGACCTACCTTTAAAATTGTTTTTTTACCTTATTACCCCCTTCAACTTTCTTTGTCCTCTCCATGTGTCTTCATCTCTGTTGAAATTGCCGACCAAAAGTAAGCTAAATTCTACAATTCTCAAATTTAATTTCACATTTTCAATTGATTTCAAGAAAAAATGATACCAAATTGGCCAACACAAGTTGATATGAGCTCCAATGAAGTGCTGAATTTTTATTTTACATTTTCAATTCAAGAAAAATTGATACAAGAAATGAAGCGGTCGTAGAATAATTGGCCAACAAAAATTGATATGAGCTCCATTGAAGTGCTGAATTTTTATTTTACATTTCAATTCAAGAAAAATTGATACAAGAAATAAAGTGGTCGGAGAAGGTGGAGAATGGTGCGCGGTGGTCGTGCTGTGGCTGGTGGCTTAGGGCGGTAGATTGGAGTGGCGATTGGTGTTGGCTGTAAGAAGAGGTGATGCGATGTTGTTATTGTGGGTTGCGGATGGTTTAATGGTGGGAATGCGAGGTGGCTGTGAGTTGCAATTTGCGGTGTAAAATATAAGAAGGTCCATTCAAATTGGGTCCTTGAGAAGTTGATAAAAGAAATGACCTCAAAGCAGCATTTCGTGGTCCATCCGTTGGTGTCGACCACGGTGAGGAAGGGGGTAGGACAGCATAGCCTCCTGTCGAGGGGGAGGCGGGGGAAGATGACGGCCGGACTTTATGGGAGGTGGGTCACCGGTTTCTCCGGCAACTCTTTCTCTCTCCTCTCGATATAGTGCAAAAATACAAGGTTTGTACTCCTGCACTAACAAAATATTAGTTCTGAATTGTGGCCTAGAGTTGGTTTAGTATTGATTTATACTCACAATTTTACCACCAATCAGAGATGGAGTATGTTCTTCTTTTCATAGTTTAGTATTGATTAAGAGTAATTAGTTCATAAATAATTGAATATGGCTTTTTAATCGCATTGGTGTAATTATATGTGATTTTTGGTTTATATGGACTAGTTTGGACTTCCCCTTTCTCTCTTACTCCGGTTATGCATGTCTTGGCCATGATAATCTCTATGGTCAAGAAGCAAATTGATGCGATTTTTGAAAAAGGTGATATAAGAAGCTCTTGAAACTTTGGCTCTAATCTCCCTTTAACTATCAGTAATTTGCTCTGATCTCTACTGTCTTGCATTTTGTTTTTACTTGAACTTTGATTTTTTAAAAATAAATAGGTTTTGATTATTAGTCATATGTGTTTTTTTTCTTAGTCTTTAGATTTTAAAAAACTTAATTGTAGCTAAAAAACTTTGATTTTCACATTTGCTACCACCTAAAACGCCTCGCTTCAGATTTGCTATCTATTAAATTTTTTTTTTTTTCACTTTGCTACCACCTAAATCAGACTTTGTTAAAAAACACTACTACTTAACGGAATCCGTTAGGATTTCCGTTAAGTTTATTTAAAAAAAAAAAAAGAAAAATTAAAAAAAAAATAAAAAAAACCAGCAACCCCACCCACCCCCTCCCCTAATCTGCCACCCTCTCCCTCCCCTAACCTGCCACCCTCCCCCTCCCCCCTTCCGGCGGCCGGCGCCTAAAGATTCGGCCGGCGCCGGCGACCTCACCCCCTCCCTTTTCCCCACCCAAAATTGACAATCCTAAGCCGACACCCCCAAACCCAGACCACCACCGCCACCGTAACCCCCAAAACCCATACCAACACCACCGTAACCCCCTTTCCCCTTCCCTCCACCGGAAATCGGCCCCCCTTCCCTGATTCCCCCACCGAAATCGACCCCCTCCCCTTCCCCTACCCTTTTCGGCCGTCCCTAACCCTAAACCACCACCCCAAAACCACCCTAAACGAAAACCACCCTAAAACCACCACAACCAAAACCCTAAAATTCGTTTAGGGTGGTTTTGGGTGGTGGTTTAGGGTTAGGGACGGCCGAAAAGGGTAGGGGAAGGGGAGGGGGTCGATTTCGGTGGGGGAATCAGGGGAGGGGGGTCGATTTCCGGTGGAGGGAAGGGGAAAGGGGGGGATTGGATGCGCATAGGGTAGGGGAAAGGGAGGGGGTGGGTTCGCGCGGCGACGCCGGCAGGGGGAGAGGGGAGGTGAGGGGTGGCTGCAAGGTGGTTGGAGGGGTGGCTAAACGGTGGAGTGGGCCCACTAACGGAAATAGTAACAGAATAAGGCATGTGGTAGTGATTTTTAACAAACTCTGTTTTAGGTGGTAGTAAAATAAAATAAAAAATTTAAACAGGTAGCAAATGTGAAGCGTGGTGTTTTTAGTGGTAGCAAATGTGAAAATTTCCTTGTGAAAAATCAAACATATCAAAACTTAGATTTCTTAGGAAATCTAAAATTCAATGATACTTGGTGAAGGCATAAGGCTGATCGAAGCTAATGAGCAAAGAAATATGGTATGGAGGGAATATTATGTTACTCTATAAGCTACACCACATACTTCTTTGATACTCTCAGAATTTGTCAACAGCTGTGCCATATTTAGAAGGATGTCCTTCACATAACATGAATAATTGATGAGTACTTATATTTTAAGATATTCCTTAATTGAATTTCCAAACTTTATATTAGTATGTCATCTTTAGGTACTCTAAGAAATACTATAGGAATTCTAACAATAGAATTTTCCAGATTTCTTGCTCTGTCAAACAGTATTAATAGATTAGTTTGATCAGTCATCTTAAGAGACTACTTAATTACTTCTTCTGTCAAACAGATACATATATACAAAGTATGTAGTCTGTTAAAACTATAAATAAAAATAAAAATAAATGTTTTATAAAAATGTTAAATACAAGATAGAAATTCACCTTAAATTTGATTTACATGGTATAGTCTCCTCAGCAATGTAATCTCTAGACCTCTTGTGATATGATCATATGATTTTCTGTGTCAGAAACAAAAATTCTGCATACAAGTCAATTGTTTAATAATGTGCTGAAAATCAATTATATGTCAACTATATTGGAAAAAACACAGTTTTCTGTGTCAGAAACAAAAATTCTGCATACAAGTCAATTGTTTAATAATGTGCTGAAAATCAATTATATGCCAACTATATTAGAAACGTTTCTATGTCAACTATATTGGAAAAAACACAGTTTTTTTTTTAAAAAAAAAATATACAGATTTGAACCACTGTATTTCCTTTGTGTAACTGTATCTATGTCTTTTCCCAATGCCGGGCTGAAGTTTTATTTGGAGTGTTTATTTTTCCCTTCATTCATAAATATGTTTAAAAAATATGTATTTGTGTTAGTTCATGAAAGAATAGAAAACTATTTTGTTGGAGTTGACTATGAAATATAATGTTATTTTTCCCAAAAAAAAAAGTACCATGCCAAACGAGTTGGCAAATTCTTGTTATCCAATGTCTTCTCTCTCTATTTTCCTTTGCATAAACTTATTGAATTGGAGGCATTTGTTGTCTTTGTATTATCTGCTGGTATTGAAGCACATCACTTGATTGATGCTTAGTTATACATATGAAGTAGGACTTTTAGTTCATAGTTGTGTATATCAATGGCATGTTTGTCAATTAGTGTGAACCTTTTGTCCAATTTTTATGTGTAAAAGTACATCATTTGGTTTCATAAGTGAAGGCTTTGGGTAAACTAAATGCTTAGATAAATTCAAATTCTGATATTAAACGCTTACATCATTTGGTTTCATGTAGCGGCTATATAGAGTGCCTTGATATACACAAAGTCTGATATTGTTTTCAAGGTTAATTGAGTACTAAATTTCTATCCTCCCTTCATCAAGCTTCTGTCACTACGTGACAAAAATGTGTGATTTCAAGTTATTTATTGTCACGGCTTTTTTGCCTCTGTGATGTAGATTGGACTCCACAAAGGATCTAGCTCTTTTACTGAGGCACGTGCTGCTGGGTTCAGTGAAGAGAATAACACTTTAGGTGAGATGTGGGAGACTATTTTCGAAAGTGATCTTCTGATGCTGCTGATTTCTGACTCTGCTCAGGTTTATGTCTCTCTGCAATCTTGCTCCTCCAGCGTGGAAGCTTTATTTTTCACATTTCTCAATTGCATATTTGAATTAGTTCTCTGTTATTTATGAACTTGTACTGTAAATCGTATCCGTGGTTTCAGCTGAATGTTTTATGATGGTTAAATTAACTTTACCCTTTCCTTTGTCTACATTTCAGGCTGACAACTATGAAAAGATTTTCTCCCACATGAAACCAAACATCATTCTTAAGTTGTCTTATAGATTTCTTTTGGGGCATCTGCAGTCTTTGGGAAAGGACTTTCCCAAGAATTTAGTGTGATTACTGTATGCCCAAACGAAATGGGGCCTTCTGTAAGGAGGTTGTATGTCTAGGGTAAAGACGTCAATGGTGCTGGAATAAACTCTAGCTTTGTCGTTCACCCGGTTTGGGTCTTTTTTTTTATTCTTGCTAATGCATTGTTGGTGGTCTGCCTTTCCTAATGCTTGAATTTGCACTCGCTATAATTAGAATTTACTATTTCTTTGCTTGTAGGATGTCGATGGTAAGGCTACAAATGTAGTACTTGGCTGGTCAGTTGTACTATTCTTTTCTATCAAAGAAGATAAATTATCTACAATTTTTCAGTTATTGTTAATTTTAACTTCTATCTATAATTGGTGACTCAGTTAAATGGATGAATTTGAAAGGTCTACTCAATTAATAAGTAATTAAATGAGAGATAGAATAATTCCATGACAACATTAGTTACTGCCTACTGAAGAACCAAAAGGTTGTTGATGTAGGAGTATGGTACAAAATAACTACGGTGAAAGGTGGAAGAAAGAAAGAAGGAATTCAAGGGAATAATCAAAGGTTAAAAGAAAGCAAGAAAGCAAGAGTACAAATCGGAGCCATTTACAAGCAGCAGGTTCCCGAATTGACTCTCTTTTTACTTGTCCAACAACTGAAATTATAATTTCTATATGTGATGGGTAAGCACAATTTTTCTTTTACCCCATGAATTCCCTTTTTTTTAAATCGAGAAACTTCATATTACTTAAATAAGGTCGTTTCATATTGTAGCAAATTTCCTAGATATCCTATTACATCAAAGACAAGAATGTGTGCTAAAAAACGGGCGATTTTGGGGATTCCAAAACCTAAACGCCAAAAGCAATCAAAGGCAGGTGAATCTCTCTAAATAATAAGCTATGCATTTGTCTGAGTTTTTAAAGAATTGTTTCGACTGAATGTTTATTTAAAACTGTTTATAGCAGGTGCTGCAATAAATGTTTGCCAATCGCTGCCTACTAAGTCCATGGAGTTGTCTGCCCCTCATTTTTGTGATAAGTGTCGTGCCAAAAAGCTAGCCTTTGAGTCATTGCATTTTTTTGCTGTGATGGTGAAGTTGAAATTGCTTCTAATGCTTTACCCCCTGAATTAGATAAACTTTATACTTCTAATGACGATGATTCAGATCATTTTCAGACATATTCTCGCCTTTATAATAACCTCGTTGCTTTTAGCTCAATTGGTGGATCAATGGATGGGGATATTCATAAAGGAATATATGCTTTGAAGGTTCATGGCCAAATTTATCATAATATTCCTGACCTGTTGCCTGATAATGAACCACTAAAATATATACTACTTTACTTCTACGATGCTATGTTTGAGGCAGAAAATAGATATAGTCTTTTTCCAAACTTACGTCCGAGTATAATTTCCTTGAGCATGGCTATTATGCTTTTGAATCCATATGCCAAGTTTTTCATGTCTCTTCGAGAGATTGAAGTCACTAAAGAGACTGAAATCAGGCTTAATAAACACCCCGTTCTTGATCAACGTGTTTACAATGCTCCGACGTCCGAAGAAGTAGCTGTGATATGGAGTGAAGGTACTTAATTTAGCCAAAGCAACAGCCCACATATCATTGTTCATGGGAAATCAAACAAGACCCATAGGATATATCATTATTATGGATGTTACGATTCGCTACAATACCCGCTTCTATTTCCTTTAGGTGACTGTGGGTGGCATCACGGTTTACTAAAAATGTCTGACGGAAGACTGTCCCAGGTGGAAGACCTTTCAAATATTTTCATTTCAGATAATGTTCAAGAGGCATCTGATTTGGTAACTGAAGAAGGTTCTGGTAAGACAACAAATTGTGACTAATTACACCAAAAATATGTTATTTAATTTATGTCATTCCCATATTAATATCATCTAAATGTAACTATTTTTATAAAAACTAATGGAATTGCAGCTGCTGCTCGGGGAAAGAAGGGCAAGCTTATTTCTTGCAGGGAGTACTATGCATACAAGTTTCAAATGCATGCTGGAAATTTCATCCTATGGGCTGGGCGGCTGTTCTTGCAATATATTGTAGACATGTATGTGAAGATAGAGAATACTCGGCTGGATTTCTTTAGACAAAATCAGTCACAAATTAGAGCTGAGCTATATCAGGGTTTAGTATATACACGTGAAGGCAGTGAAGCAAATGCATCGAATGTAGGTTAGTGTGTTATCCTCCCTCCTTCCTTTTTTGGGGGGCCTCGTGATATGCAACGGTGTTATCTCAATGCTATCGCTCTTGTACAACGTTTTGGGAAACCGGACTTATTCATAACAATGACCTGCAACTCAAATTGGCAAGAAATCAAAGCAGAGCTGGCACACGGGGAAAAAGCACAAAACCGACTCGATCTTCTCGCTTGTGTTTTTAGAGAAAAGCTTATAGAACTGAAAAAAATAAAAGAAGAACAAGGGTTTGGAGAGGTGGCTGCATTCATATGTAGTTGAGCTCCAAAAACGTGGCTTGCCACATGTCGTATGCTCATTATTTTAAAGCCGGAATTTAAGATAAAGCATCCAGAATTATTTGACAAGTACGTGTCTGCCAAAATTCCTCCCCATGAAAACCCACACTAACGAAAAGTGGTCTTAAACCATATGATACATGGCCCATGTGGGAAGGATAACCCTGAATGCCCATGCATGAAGCATAGAGGAATGGAAGGGAAGTGCAAATACGACTAACCTAAGTCTTGTTATGATATTACAACAAGCCATGAATGTGGGTATCCTGAATACAGACGCTGGGACACAGGTGAGTCTATTGTGATTAGATTGAAAAGGTTGGAAAACCGTTGGGTCGTTCCATATAACCCTTATCTATCTGCCTTATTCGACTGCCACTTGAATGTGTAGGTATGTTCAACAATTCAAGCAGTTAAGTACCTTTACAAATACGTTTATAAAGGACATGATCGGGTATCATATAACGTACAAGCTTCATCAGGCCCTGTAAATAAGATTGAGCAATTTCAAGCAGGCCGTTGGGTATCCCCTTGTGAAGCCGCATGGAGAATCTTTGGGTTTGACCTGTTTGAAATGAGCCCCCCAGTAGTAACACTGCAAATTCACCTGCCTAATCAGGACAGTGTGAGTTTCTCTCCCAATGAACAACTAGCCTCTGTTGTTTCAGATAGGCACCGAGCCCGTACTTCATTAACTGAGTTCTTTAGAATGAACAACACAATCCCAAACATACCAAAATACACATATGCAGAATTTTGTGAGCATTATGTGTGGAATCATGCTACAAAAACATGGTCTAAGCGGGCTAATTTGCGAACTGCAATAGGACGTCTGACTTTTGTGGCTCCATCCGAAGGGGAAAGATATTTTCTCAGGCTGCTACTAATCAATGTAAGGGGACCAAAATCCTTTGAAGATTTACGAACGGTCAACGGCCAACTTTTTGCAACATTTTAGAAAGCAGCCTTGAAACTTGGTCTTCTGGCAGAAGATGACGCCGTTGATAAATGTATGGAAGAGGCTGTTACTGCACATATGCCAAAATCTTTGCGTAAATTATTTGCTACAATATTGATTTTCGGAATGCCAAGAGATCCCCTAGCCCTTTGGCAGAAGTACTACATTCATTTGTCCGAAGATATCAGGCACCAAAATCCAGGAATGGAAGACAAAGTGAAGGCTCTTACTGTGGAAGAGGTAGAGCGTTTCTTAGAAGAAATGGGGAAAAATTTGGAAGAATTTGGCCTAGGGGTGTTGATAAGCAATGTAGACTCCGGACTACGGTAAACAAAGGATATTGCTGATGCACTCAATGCCACAATACCGGTTGAATACATTGAAGCCATTGACAAGCTCAACCTTGCCCAACGCGATGCCTTTGATTGCATCATTAAACATGTGCAGCTTAACAAACCCGGTTCATTTTTCGTTGACGGTCCGGGAGGCAATGGCAAGATATACCTTTACTGTGCATTGTATGCTGCTGTTAGAAAAATGGGCAAAATAGTTCTTCCAACATCTACGTCCGGAATTGCTGCCTCAAACATAGTGACTGGGAGGACAGCCCATTCGCATTTTAAAATCCCCCTTAATCATATAGCTTCCATGTCTTGCAATGTATCTAAATAAAGCAGCTTAGCTGGTCTTCTACGAGAAAGCTCCTTGATTATTTGGGATGAAGCATCAATGGCAATCAAGGAAAATGTAGAGTTATTAGACTTAGGGATTTATGTGATAGGCGTACAGCTTTTGGTGGCAAGGTTGTCGTCTTCGGTGGGGACCTTCGGCAAGTATTGCCTGTGGTACCAAAAAAATCACAAAAAGAAGTCGTACAAGCAAGCTTAGTCTCTTCTTATCTATGGCATGGTTTCAAACGAATACGCCTGAGTCAAAACATGCGAGCCCGAACAGATCCTGCATTCTCTAATTTCTTGCTTGCTTTAAGGGACGGTCGTATGCAAACAGAAGAGATAGCTAACATTCATCTACCAAGACAACTGGTTGTGCCATTTGAGGATGAAAACTACTCTCTGGACTAGCTTCTCAGCCAAATATTCCCGGAACTTACCGCAGGTGGTTTCAGTTCCAGCATCTTCGCTGAATGTGCAATCTTGGCTCCCCTCAATGATGATGTTGATGATATAAATACTTTGCTAATTGCAAAACACCCTGGTCAGGCTGTAACCTACAAGAGTTTTGATGTGTTAATTGATGAAAATTGCAAAATTTACAAAACTGAATTCCTAATCGCTTTATGCCCCGGAGGAATGAGTCCACATGCATGAATGGGTTCTAAAGGAAAATTGCCCCGTTATTCTGCTGAGGAACCTTGTTCCAGCCTCTGGCTTATGCAATGGGACACGACTCATATGCAAAAGATTCTACCCCAACATGATTGAGTGTGTAATTGCAACTGGCCATCATACTGGTGAATATGTATTTCTGCCACGCATTGACTTGCGGCCCTGTGCCTCAACTAATTACCCGTTCTAGTTCCAGCGAAAACAATTCCCAATCACTTTTTTTTGCTATGACAATCAACAAGGACTAGGGACAAACACTCACTCAAATAGGGATATACCTTAGACGACCTTGCTTCTCTCATGGACAATTATATGTTTCCTTTTCTCGGGCCTGGAATTCTAAACATGTAAGGGTACTGACCAAGCCTACAACTGAAGATCAGCAGGTGTACAGTGCAAAAAATGTTATTTCGTTTGAGATCTTACTACGATCAGGTGTTACACAGCAATCTCCTTCAAGGTCAGTATAATTATAGCCTCTTGATTTATATTATTTTTTATAATGCATGTTGTTCACCAAATGTGTACTTGCTAAAGTGAAACCCATTCTTTTATGACAGGAACAACTAAAATAGGAACTTCGGTCTGCTTATCTGCACGATGTCCCCTAAACAAAATTTCAGTCAATTTAAAATTTCAAATGAAGGAGAATATTTCAATAAACTTAGTTCAGCTTTAAATTAAACAAAATGTTATTGTTTCTTGAAACAACCTATTACTTCTTTTTCTGAAAATGACAAGCAACTACTTCCTAATTGGTGTGTGTTTTGTTAAGATTTCTACTTGGAATGATATCTACTTGTGGTTATGATGCAAATCAGTTGAGATGATAAACACAAATACTGGTAGCCCTACCTTTTTGGCATAAAATGTCGGGTTAGCTTTAGTTGCAGCTTGTGGATTTGTTGTATCAGAAGTAAGGTAAAATCTGGGGAAAGGTAGGAATTACATGAGAGTATAGCAACTACTCGATCCTCTAAGCAAAGCAATAGGCCATTTGATCCAATATTTGAGAGGAAATTCTCTTATGTTTTCTTATTTCACAGTTTTCTTTCCCCGTAAAATATATAGCTTCGTGCTTCTTTTCCCTCAAACGTTCTGTCAAAATTTAATAGTATCAATGATCTTACGCTTACAAATTTAAAAGCTAGAGCCTAAGCCCTAGAGGTTATGAAGATAAGAAACATATACTTAACCACTTGTAATATCTTCCTTTATATATAACCAACTTCTCTAGCTGAAAATTTGAACATTTTGACACATTTATTGTTGAGGACGATTTCAGTTTCATTTCTCAGAATGGACTCACTACTGTCATAATTCCTGTAGGATGGTGGATAGCCACTAACCCGACACCCCCTAAGCCTTTTGTGGGAGGGTCTTCGCAGGCCTTGGACAACGCCTTCACTTGGGCACATTATGTCTTTTTCTGTTTTTCCCTTCTATGTTCTGTTCACAATGATTTACTAATTTGTGAATTAGGTACTTATGGTGTTATTTGCGTGTATCGAACCTGCAGAAAATATGGTATCCAGGTTATAGTTTACCTGCACGCAGCACCCGGTTCACAAAATGGGAATGAACATAATGGGACTACAAATGGATCTCTTGAATGGGGAAAAACTGATGCTACTGTACAGCAGAGTGTTGCTGTTATCGACATCTTAGCTTCCAGGTAGTTTATCAAAACTGGAAGGTTCAGATTCTTATATTATAATTTCCACTTTTGAAATCCTGTTTACATATACATATAGCCATTGTCTAACTGCACAATCTCATTTGACTTCAGATACGCAAAAAACTCTAACTTGCTAGCAATTGTGGTTAGGGATTGTTTGAAATTTGTTTGCTAAATGTTTATAGAAAGCTCACAGAGAAATACCCATCCTTGAGAGAGAGATCAGAGACAACTTATCTTATTGTGAAAATTTCCTTGCAGCCTTGGGAAGCATTTCGCACTGATAGGGTTATAATATTTTCTGACATACTCACTCCTCTTCCTGCTGCTTTTGGGGTTCCTTTTGACATAGAAGAAGTCAGAGGCCCTGTCATCCAGTCACCTATTCGTGATGAAGATGCCTTGAAAGAATTGCATCCAATTGACTTGGAAAAGCTTAATTCTGTTGGCGAATCTCTTAAAATTTTGCGCAATGAGGTGAATGCTATTTTCATCATGACCCTTATGTAAATCCCTCGTGATGTATGGATCTCTACTGTTACTAAATGCACTGCCTTCTCCTTAGGTTGGTGACAAGGCTGCTGTTCTGGGTTTTGTGGGTGCACCCTGGACTATAGCAACATACATAGTGAAAGGGGGTACTACTCGCACCTACACCACAATAAAAAGTATGTACCACACATCACCTTATGTCCTCGAGACTCTTCTGTCACACATAACGGAGGCAATTACTGACTACGTGATTTACCAAGTTAAGTATGGAGCTCACTGTATTCAAATATTTGATTCATGGGGTGGAGAATTACCACCACATATGCGGGAACACTGGTCTAAGCCTTACATTAAACAGGTAAGTCTCCAGTCTGTTTTCTACAATTTATCAGTTTATGACTAGATCATTATTCATTTGTTGGCTTGTGCTTTTGAACTTTTTCTATTTTTTTACACCAAGAGACTTGGATTATTGTTTAGAAGTTTTTTTCTAGGGGTGATTAACTCTTATTTATCTGCTAAGCCAGAAAAATTTGATGTTGGCCTTTATACTGTCTTTAACCGATTAATTTTTTAAAGCTAAACAAGATAAGAACTTTTGTCAAATCTTAAGCCCACGTCCCACTGATTTGTAAACCTATGTAGATTATGTATATTTGTTTAACAAAAGCTTTAACATGACTTGACAAACATTTACTACCTCCTCATTCCTTCTTTTTACAGTCATTTTTAGTATCATGGAAGCATCCTATGCTTCAAGTATGTGCAATTTGATCCTTAATCATCAATGTAGACTTTTTAGAATAACTGATCAATGTAATTGATGAGTAGACTTTAACCAATTTAAGGTTCATATAGTGGGAATAGAAAAAGTCTGTAGATTTATGCTATTCCATGTCTTACAACGTTTTTTTAGCAAAATGTCACACAACCAGAACTGCCAACCATATAAACCATTAGGCTGTTAAATTGAGAGGTTATAGTACATTTATTGCGCAACATCTTCTGTTAACAACCAGTCAAAGGAAGCTTCCAATACTACTGAAACATAATTAGCAATAATTAGTCCTAATTACAAATTACTACAGTACAATTATTTTCAAATTCTGAGCATTTACTTCCTATTATCAATACAATTAAATTCTAATTAAAACCAAGGTCAGGAACCGCAAAAGTGTGAAACTGAAACATTGGTCTTAAACAACACCATATATCTATATATATGTGGTTTATTCTTTGTCATTTCCACCAACGCCATCCAAAGTCTCCTTCACTTTTAAAAAAGGTCAGTATTGTTCAATAAACAAGTATTATATCACATTGGTCAGATCCATATCGTTTCATAACTTACACTTTCTGTTTTGCAATGTACATATATGTTGATGTAGAGTTTAATCATGAAGCTTGAACAAACTTCACTCGGGAAACTAACTCCAAGCACCAAAGCATACAAAGTAAGAGCCAAAGTGATAGAAAAGTCACAGCCACAACAATCACCAAACAAGCTTCCAACGCCTTGTAATTGAGGATACTGAGGTATGTTCACTTTATTACTAGGCACTAAAAGCACTAATATAAAATTTACAATTGCTTGTAATTCTGCTATCTGCTATAAAACAAAAAAAAAAAGAGGAAATAAAATCTCATTCACAGATTTAATCAACAACCAAATTACAAAAAAAAAAGGGCAACTCACAAAAAATCACTTACATATTAATAGGTAGAATATATATATAAACAATTCACATAACACTACTGTAAGCTATGCAGGGTAACCATCTTGGAGGTACTCTTTTTGGTGATGAAATAGATACTTTTAAGGACGTCCTACAACTAGGGAAAGAATATGAGATCGCAAATGCTCCACTGAAACCAATAGATCCAAAGTACCAAAAAAGAGAAAATGACTGCCAGATGACATTCGGCGATGCCAACTGCGGGTCCATTTCTGCCAAATTATATCTTCATCAACTCAACTCCAAAAACCAGCTTTAAAAATGAATGCTTCGGTAAGTAAAGTGCAAACCCACATCAACTTTATTAGTAACGACACTTTATGTAGCACTCACTAACCGTATGTAACCTGTCACACATATTTGCTCGCTGTTGTCCTTTACATAGAAGAGGTCAGGAAAGTACCAACATCAGGAGGAAACATGATGGATGTACATGAAATCATAGTCACTGACCAAAGGTACATAAACAATGACAATAATAACCTAATATAACAATGTATTCCACCACTTATACAAAACTCCAAAACTATCCATGACTCTATATGGCATGATAAACAACACTGAACAACCGCTCACCATCTCAATGTGGGGAGGCCTTGCTGTTATTGACACTGAGAAGCTGGCAGGTGGGGTGCTAAGCCCAATAGTTGCAGCCTTCACTCACTTACGACCCACCACATATAAAGGTAGCCTATCATTTCTTCTCAAATTGTTAACATACCTTAACACACTGCATAATTTAAAACCTTTAAACATGTAGGGTTCTCCCTTGCAAGCTCAATGTCAACTACTATCATCTCAGATCCTACGGGGGAAGAAGCATATGCTCTTTGAACATGTTAAGCAATGAAAAACTCGATGCACTTACAATATGTAATGCTAATCAACTGTACTAAATTTGTTTAAAACATCCTAGGATGAAAGAAAAACAAGAAATGCTTCTTGACCAAGCAATAAAAATACTGCACATCAGAACACCATCAAGAACAACAGCAGCCAAAACTATTAGTGAAATTGAGCAGAAAAATGTAAGGACAACAACCCTTACCCCGCTACATAACCAATACCTACCTATTAACAGATAACTGATGCATTTTCATACATCGCAGGCTGGAAACACAATGCAAGAAGAACGCCATTAGATACATGCCACTATCCCTGATGCTCAGTTGGAAAACCTGATTGCTTACCAAGGATGTAACAACTGTGGAAAGCATTGCCAAGAAGCAAGGGACACAACCTTCAAATGCCTACACTGCTCAAAAAAAAAAAATTACCGCCACAGTCAGGTAAGAATCAATTTTAATCAACCAAATCTACAACAACAATAACCAGAATACTAATGTCCCTTTACACACAGGGTAAATTTCACAATCGATGTGAGTGACGCCACTAGGACTCTAAGACTCACTGCTTTTCGCAACTGCTTTTGCTGAAGACTGCGAAAAGCTCATTGGTCTCCCTAATTTTGAGATATATGAGAAGAAATACTCAACAAAAAACATTACCTTCATTATCAGACAGGGTGATTGGCCGGAATTTGAAGAAATAGCTACCAACCTGAGGACGAAGACCATACATTTCCAAATTGCACCAACAATTTCTCTCACTAGAATCGGGGTCCTCAAATGGGCTACAAGAAGATCGAAATTTGACTAAACATGCAACGGCTACAAGAAAAAAGCAACAAGCAGTTGTTTCTCCTTAAACAGCCCCTTATCCTTAGCTATATAATTATATTGCTTTAGTACTACCAAGGAAAAAAAAAACAAAGAACGTGTCCTATAAGGACACTCTTTGCAAAACATTATATATATCTATGTACTTAGTAATATTAGGCTTCAACTAAATTTATGTGCCATGTAAGAACTCTTTTATTGACATCAAATAATAAATGGCAAGTTAGGCTATTATACAACAACACCTTTTGTAAGCTCAATTACAAGATCATTGCACCACTCCAACATGATAGTCAGAACACCAACTTAACGCACCAAAAACATACAACTTTGGTTGTAATATACTATACAATTCACACACACAACTAATTTACAATTGCCTTTACAAAACACCAACACACACCCGATTGATTTAAAAAGATAAAATCTAACAGAAAATGTAAGTATTAAGCCAATAACAAACAACACAATATAAACAAGAAAGGGCAAGCCGCTTTGCGCGCATCGCGTGCATTGGCTCCCCTAGTATATATATACATATGTGAGAACCAAGGTGAATAATAGGAAATAGGAACTAATTTCATCCATTGATCGCACTCCATCTCATGACTCACGTTGCACCCGCTCTAATTAATGACATTCTCGTAATTTTGCAGTTTTCAAACTTTTTTCCAGTTTTCTTTATCTTTTAAGGCAATTTCATTTACTTTAAGACTAATTTCATTTAATTTTACTAAATTTTCATTTACTTTTGAGGAATGAAACTGGAAACTACTTTATAAAGTTAAAATATTACAAAAACGTCATTAATAACACAGGAAGCATGTGAGCCATCCGATTATTATTATTATTATTATTATTATTATTATTATTATTATTATTATTATTATTATTATTATTATTATTATTATATACACTTATATATATAATAATAAATAGTTAAAGATCATTAATCCGTAGTAAAAAATCACTTATCAATAGTCAATAAATAGTTCTGTTCAGTTTAGTTCAGCTCTTATAAATTCAGTTCAGTTCAACTCTAATAAGTTCAGTTCAGTTCAATTCAATTCAGTTCAATTCAGCTCAGTTCAGTAAATCAGAACATGCCCTAAGACTGTATTTTTGCTATGTCTAACATGGACAAATATGGATACGTACACTTCCATGTCACAAACTCAATTTAATATTAATTTAATAAACAGAGTTTGCAAGAGAAACTAACGTTCGTTTTCTCCATGTTGTTCAAATATAATGAACTAAGTTGAACTGAACTAAACTGAACTGATTGGAGCTGAATTGAACTGAACATAACTGATTGGAGCTAAACTGAACTGAACCGGCTGAACTAAATAGAGCTGAACTGAATATTATATGAGAGAAGGAAAATTAAGAGATGAACTAAACTGATTGGAGCTAAACTGAACTGAATTGAACTAAAACTAAGCTGAAATGAACAAGCCCTTAAGTGTTGCTTCCTCATCCTCCATTGAATCTCCCTCCTCCTTCCACCTCTATTGAAGCTTCCTCCTATAGCCTCCTCCGTGTTATTCTTTCCCGATCCCAATAATATTTGACATCATCTTCGAAAATCAATTAAAGAAAAATGCTTCAATAGAAGACATGGTCACCTTGTTATTTGGGTTGTTTATCGATGGTGAGGGAGGGGTGGAGTGTAGTTTTTCAATGGTGAGGGAATGGAGGGGCTTAGTTTTCATCAATAGGAAGAAGGGTTTCTCGATAACGGTACGACGAAGGAGATGTAAGAAGTGGTTTTAGTGGTGGGCCGGGGGAGGAGAAGGGGCCAAGGGAGAGATTGTAGGTCCTCCCAAAATTTGAATTATTTTTAAAAAATTAAAGTTAAAATCAAGTGGGCAAAAAAGTAGGGATTAATAAAATTAATTTTTCTAATAAAATAAATAAATTTACTTGACTTTTTTTTTTTAAATATAACATTTATCCACTATTGTTAAATCTCATTGTTTTTATAGAAATAAACAATTTTTTTCTCCGTTTTCTAAAATTCATTTAATTTGTTCACCTTTATAAAAAACTAGGTAGTACGCCCGTGCAATGTTCGGAATGTTTGTTAACTCAATACATCTATATTAAAATATATGGATATTATATAAATTTAGTATCCAAACTTAGTAATTTAAATTACAATTATTTTACTATTTAGTAATTAGCTATAATATGAACATCATCACCGTCCGAAAACTTGGGAGAGAATGTATTAGTACCAACGATTTCTTCACATACGCCAAAATTTTAGAACCCTTTGAATAAAAAATTCAAATGAATTAAACTTGTTTCATATATATAATAGGCAAAAACTGATAAACGCCCTGGGACGTTGGATAAGATAATTAAAAGTAGAAATAATAACTTGAGATAAACATTAATTACAATGATGAACACGTAAATTTGGCATGTATTCCCAATTAATATCATTTTAGTAAATATTTTAAAGGGGTATCCAACAGCCTGGGAGCATTCGTTAGAGAGAGTGAGCTACGTAGGATTTAATTTTTTTTAGCGCGCCATGTAGGATAATAAATTTTAGTGCTAACCAAATAAATACAAGATTATTAATTTCTTTTAGAATTAAATAATTTAAATGACATGTAAGCAAAATTGGCGAAAGCGATTTTCTAGTTTAAATTAGGCAAAATTGGTAAAAATCACCTTTTTTGTCCAACTTTTTTGAAAAAAACCACCTTTTATGTTTTTTTATTTACTAAAACACCTTTTAAGTACCTAAATTCTTGATTGCACCACCCCTAGTTCAAATTTTGACGAAAAATTTAACTAAGACGTCAAAGGGGGCCCACAACTTGTGCTTTTCGCTCCTAAATCATGTATTTTTTTCACTCCCAAAAATATTTGACCCTTCCCTCTATATAAATGCATGACTAAATTGAGTAAAGCTCTAAAAAACCAAACTTAATTTTGCTATAAATATTAAATTGTAGTATTTGTTTATTCTCAAATACTAAATTGAGGTAAATGAAGTGATGGTTGAGATGAAAGGGAAGGTTTTGCTATGGTTGATGATTTGGAAGTGGATGGTCGAGATGCAATCTATTAGATTTGAAATATGGGTGGTGCAATAAAAAATTTAGGTACTTAAAAGGTGGTTTAGTAAATAAAAAAACATAAAAGATGGTTTTTTTCAAAAAAGTTGGACAAAAAAGGTGGTTTATACCAAATTTACCAATAAATTAATTAAATATAAAATTTTATCTTTTGATATTAGTTATTTTATTTAAATATATAAAATATTATCACATATATATAATATTATTTTAAAAAATTCAAACAAACCGTGCATCACACGGGATTTATCTAGTGTAATATTAAAATAAAATATCCACTTTGTGATAATTAATAATGATAATAAAAAAGAAATCATCAACCTTTTGGTCCATTGAGGTCCATAAATGAATTACTCGTACATTAACCTTCTGATTTCCTTCATGGGTGTTAATTTCTTCAATAAGATTAATAGTGGAATCCATCTCCTTTGAATTTTTTTTTTTAAAAAAAGTTAGTGTTAATATATTCGGATTCTTTATTACTTGAATATAATATCAACTGAAAAATGTAGTTTTGGCTAGTATAATACAATAGTAATATTTATAAAAATATACTTTTTTCGTTTTTATTTAGTTGACACGTTCAATTTAGATACACATATTAAGGAGATGAGAAAAAGTGAGAGAGAATGATAAAGCAAGTGGGGTACACTTAAAACGCAAGGTATAAAACTTGAAACATTAGTGTAACAACTTTGATTGGATAAACTTGAATAGAAAACTAACCAACCAGATGGTCCCCAAACAAATAGGGGAGGTGAAAAAAAAAAAAGGACGAAAATGGGTGAGATTATTAAGCTTTTGGAGTAAAAAAAAAATGTATACTTGCTCCATTTATCCATGCGAGGAATTTTAGGAAATCGGAGCAAGTAATAAAATATGGATCAGTGGGGTAGGTGGAAGAATAAAAAATTGTATAAGAAAAAATAGTTGAAAGAATTAGAAGAAAGAGAATATGAAAACAATAAAATATGGTTTATATTGGGTCTACTAGTTGAGAGAAACGAATTAAATAGTTTAAAAGCATTCAAAATAGATGGGCTAAGAATTTTAAAACCACTGAAAATAGAAAGTGTAACAAATATTAAAAAACTGAGGAAGTATCACTTTACTATAGACATATAGTATATTTCTTTATACAAATGTACCAACCCTTGACATAATTCAATATTAGTAAAGGTGTCAATTAGAGTGTTTGGATCTGGTTTGGTAAGTCTGAACGAATTGATTTTATTTCAAACTTAAGTCGTGGTATATTATTATGTTCATATAATTCGAAATTTGAATGGGGTATTTTTCGGATTGATTTCTAGTTGAGTCGATTGGGTGAGGTTTTGATACCTCTTTCTACATACAATTATTAACTATTCTCTCCGTCCCTTATTTTTTAGCTCATTTGACTTTTTACGGTCTCCAATACGTGTCTTCAAATGTATATATCAGTAAAGGCTATACATACAATTGTTATATGTGGTCTCTACATATAATTTTAATTTGTCATGTTTTTATTGGCTAGAATTATGGGCCCAAGTTCCGTTAAAATTCAATTTATATTTGACTCTTAGAGTATCCACAATGGCTAGCAACATGTGTTTGTAGCTAGTAATTGTCACATCATTATTTTCTTAATTATAATAAGCTAGCATCTAAGCTACAACCTTCGCAATTATTATCTATTTATTTTTGTAATTGGGAATAATAATAATAAACCAAAAATAAAAACAAATTAAAAATAAACATAAACATATACATACAAATATTAATTAAACAAATCAATATAAGTGCATTGGGTGGAGCAAAACCTTGTAGCTCCATGGAGCTACAAAGTTTGGCCTTAACTACAACCAGCTCTACAATGGTGAGCATGTATCTCCACAATGGTGAATATGTAGCTACAACTATTTATAAATTGCTAGCAAGTCCTTTTATGCTACCACCGAGTATGCTCTTAGTTTCTCCCTTCTTTTGATGATATGTCAAATTTATAATGGTGTTGTATGTAGGGACAACATACAATGGTTATATGTGCATCAGTCTATCAGCTCTCATATATATATATATCCAATTCTATACACATACAAATTATAAAAATTTAATATTAATAAAATTTATAATGATATAATTCTAACAAGATTTCACTTAAATATTTATCACTTATAACTTATCGAGAATTCATAGTCTAAGTAATAAAAATTTGACCCATATTTTACAATGGTGCAAAATTAAGGGATAAAATGAGTACTAAAGCCCTATTTGATTCACCTTAATTTTGCTAAACTGAAATTATTTTTACTGAACTGAAATTATTTTTACTTAACTGAACTTATTTTTACTCAACTGAACTTAATTTTACTGAACTGATATTATTTTTACTAAACTTAAATTATTTTTACTGAACTTAAATTATTTTTACTGATTTTCTATTATAATTCTTCTTTAAGAAAACTGAATTTTGCTGAAGTGAACTTATTTTTACTGAACTGAAATTATTTTTACTGAACTGAAATTGATTTTACTGAAATGAACTTA